ATGAAACAAATTTTAAAGTTTAGTGTAGGAAAGAACATGCTACCAATAGACCCATTCCTGCCAGAACAGGTACTTTTGTGAGTGCTAATAATAATAATTTATTAAGTGCCTGTACTGTTAAATTCTTTTTTGTTGTTTAATTGATAAATAATATTGTGTAAATTTAAGGTGTACAGCGTGTTGACTTGATACACTTATATCTTGCAAAATGATTCCTGCCATAGCATTAGCTAACACCACCATCACGTCATATAATTACCATTTCTTTGTTGTGGTGAGACCATTTAAGATCTACTTTCAAGTATGTAATGCAGCATTATTAACTATAACCACCGTGCTGTACATTAGATCCTCAGAACTATTTTTGTCTAACTAGAAGTTTGTATTCTTTGACCAACATCTCCCCTATGTGCTAAATTCTTAAATCACTTCATTCTAACAACCACTACTGAGATACTTTTATAAATGTCCTTACTTTGGAGATGAGGAAACCAGGTCTCACAGGGCTGAAGTAACTTGCCCAATGACACACAGACGGTATATACAGGGCAGAGCCAGAATGCAAAGACTGGTCTTTTTGAACCCAAAACCCGTGCATTTAAACCCTATGCCATATGGCCCTTAGAGAATTTCGTATCAGGTAGTGTGGACAGCAGTCCAAAAGGGATATTTGAAAGAGGACTTTGTTGTTGTGTCTGAATTGGACAGACATGGAAGGTGTTTCATGATAGGAATGTGTAAAAAAAATTCTGGGAACATTGAGAGCCCCTATTAAATAACTAGTGTATTTGTATTGGAGGGTGCGGGGGAAGCTGAGGAATCATACACAGAAGTAGAGTTAAACAAAATCCATTGTTGGTCCAACCCAAACTTTGCCATAAGTGTATGGTTGCCATAAGGGATGAATAATAGCATTAGGAGGTGTGAGGGATGAGGTTGACCCATGGTGCTATTTCCAATGCGTGGGGGTTTGGCCAGCACCCAAGCAAACCTTGGTGTAGCCTCTGCCAGGAATGCTGTTGGGCTTTCATTGAATGCTCAATATCTCCCTCTACAGGCCATGGAGGTGCAAATTCTCTATCTTGCATTGGCTGTAGTGATTTGTTTAGTTCACACTCAGCCACGTGAGAGCAGGCTCTGGCAGTCTTAGTGCTTTTGTCGGGTAGCCATGGAGACGCTGTGTTGTTTCAGAAATTCACAGCCTACAAAGGGCAATGGATTCTGAAAGCATTGGAAATGCATCCTAACTCCTTGTCTCTGGCTTGTATTCGTAAAAAATAGATGTGTAAAACAAATACAGCTGCACCCAAGTATCCAAGCCAACTAAGAGGCTCAGCTGGACAGAATTTAGTGCTGGTAGTCCTGCATCTTATAACCAGCCAGTTTTTAATATTGATTCAAGTAGCCATTCAGGAACTGCTACATGCCAAGAATTAAACGCTACAGATAAATGTACACTCTTCACTTTGTAAAAATTTATACCCTGTGTAATGTGGTTCAGAGGTCACCAGAGACCACAACAGCCCAGTATGTCATTTAAATGTAAAAAAAAAAACCAGGGTCCACCTACAAGGAGGAGAAAGAGGAAATACATTGAGACCACAGAGTAGAGCAGATTGTCACACTTAGATGAGAAAATTGCTGCATGATTTCTGGTGGCTAAAACTACAAGGGAAACCCTGAGTTACATATTTTTCATTTTCTGACAACAGGAAGCAAATACATCCATAATCAGAAAGATATTTCTTGCTTCCCCCCCGACCACATCACAACTAAATAAAATCATGAATGAGTGGCATGGGAGCCTTCCATAAAACACAGAGATATGTGGAGAGAGCAGAACCTTAACTTCTGTAGTTCAAAAGATACTGGGACACAGCTCAGGTGGCTCTTGGATCAACCATCCATAAACACAGAGTGTACGACTTTATGAAGTAACAATGGAGTTGCTTTTTTGCAACAGAGTGTGTTGGCGCAGAGCAAAGATTCTTTTTCCAGGGTCTAAGTCAATAGCAGGATAGAATTGCAAAGCTCTTCTTGGTCAGGGACTCTCCAGCTTTAATGAACCCCTTTGAGAGCTGGATAAACGAGTGGGTTCCTAGGACATTTTCCCAGATTTCACTGGGGCTGTGACAAGACCCAGAAATCTGCATTGAGGTGAAGATTGTCTATGAATGCAATTTTGAGAAACACAGATGGGATGACATTAGTGGATTTGGGACCGGCACTGCATCACGTTTTACAGTGGGTGGAAAATGAACGGGAGGGATTTCACAGCCTCTGCAGAGCTGAAGTTTATCTGACTCTTTTAAAGAACCAAGGAGCAGCAGGCATTATTTCTCTTCACAACACATTAGATTAAATGTCTCTTTAAAGTATCTGTCATGAATTGCTTACAGCAAAAAGGCTACTATATCATTCTAGTTACAGAGTTATGTGAAGTTGGTGTTGTATCCAGAGTCCCAAGAATGTTAAGTATATCCTTAAATGGTTCTGTTTTTTTTCTTTTGCTCACAGTTATGAAACATAGCAATTCATAGGCTGTGTCCCCATGAAAAGAATTCACGCTTTGAAGTTCTTTCTACCTCTGAGAAATCTGAACATGCCAGTGGTCATCATGAACTAACCCTGTGGACTGGGGGAGGCAGGCAGGGACTTTGCGGGCAAGGTCCGAGAGTTCCTTCAACTTTTCCCATTGCTGCCACCACAGATTTTGGGGCTTGTTGTTGTTGCACATCCTTATTCATGATGGGGTGCAGGTCAGAGAGCGTGTGTGGGAAAGTGAAAAATCCATGACTGCTCCTGGAGTCTAACCCGCGCTCCAGCCGTGGTGGTACAACATGAAACCTTTGAAGGTCCCCATGAGAGATTTACAAGTTATGAATCGTATTTAAAAAAAAAACCACATCATATCAGCACAGAATGTTGAACTGGGGGCAAAATTATGGGAAATAGGAAAAGTCTCATCTTTTGGGTTCAGATCAAAGACTAGACAATGGCAGTGTAAGCACAATATGACCCCCTACACCAAATGGAAAGTTAGAAATCTCATCAGATGTTTGTTTTGTCTTTACAACCTAAGACAGTTAATTGTACCCATTTTTCTCCTCTATTAAATGACTGATTAAACAGCTGTTTCAGCTCGACACTCTGATTTTCATTATTTATTTTTTAACATTTGGCCCTAAATAAAACAATCAATTCTGAGTGCTAAGAATATTGGATCAACTAAAATATTTTTGTTATGTTTTATATAGAAGATTTTTTTCCTCTGTTTTGTCTTCTAACCTCTTAAAGCAGGCAGCCAACTTATTAGTTCATCTATTTTGGCACAATAAAATGATGACTGATTTTAGAAGCTTGGAAAATGTAAAGCTGCAAAAAAAATCACAATACTCTCCAGCTTATAATGCTGTTTATGTACTTTCTTTGGATGTATACTTCATCCTGCGGAAGGGTTTCCTTCATGCTGAGTCCCCCAAGGTCTCTGGCTGATTTCCCTCTTGTCTGGCACTGTTTGTGTTTAAGAAACAATGCCCAGGAGAAAGATAACCATCTTGCTGTTGCTTTGTGGAAACATATGTGTTCTCATACAATTTCTATTCCTTCTTCCTCATAAGTAATGAGACGAAGAACTAAGTTTAAGCACATCATCAAAATTGCACAGTAAGTGGCCAGGAGTCTTTCAAAAGAAGCTGAACTGCCAGAGGAGGAACGTGCAGCTGGGAGCTGGATATTGCATCATCTGGCCTTCTCCTGCTGAACAAAGAAAATTATTTTGTAGAGTATTTACAGATGCTCTTATTCCAAGTGACACAATGCATTTGTTTCAATGGAGGTTTTCAATGAGCAACTTGGAAATTTTCCTTACTATTAGGAAACCCCATAGCAATTCATTATACCCTGGAGTATATTTGAGGGAAAGCAGTTGAATCTTAAGGCTAAACTAGCAATTTCAATAACTTTGGAAGTTGATTTTTTTTCTGGGATGTTTAAATTTTCTATTACAGCACAGAAATTCTGCCTTTGTGTCAAAAAAGAGGACTTAGAAAGAAACTTGCTGTAGCCAAGACAGAGGCTGTGCTGTGAGATTTCATCTCTGCAGTGTGAGGGCTCAAACTCGTGTTATTAGGAAGTGTGAATGTGTTCAGGAAATCAAGGACCAAGATAGGCTTCTCAGATTAAAGCTTTAGGTTATTAGTTTATTGGGTTGAAGCTTCCTTCAAAAATCCTATTTTATGCAGAACAACAGAGACAGATGACAAAAATGTAAATATTTTCATGTTTGATCTAAAGATTAGTGGCAAATGTTGGTTATTTTATGATCATAAATCAAAGTTCAAGAAATAACCCTCAGATTTAATAAAGGAAAGTAGGAGATCCTCCATTAGCCAGTTCAAATTATGAATATGTCACTAATTACCTTTTCCTATCATACAGGGAAGTACCTCATGGAGAGGAGAGACATACAATTAACCTCCCTTCCCCTCTGCATAAAATAAAAAAAATCTTTAAAAAAACCCAAACTGTTTAAGCAGTCATAGGAACTGAAAAAATTAAAAGGGAGAAGGTTATCTTAAAAGAAGTCACCTGTATCTTTCCGACTCAAGAGTCTTGGGGGAGTTTGTGCATCCCTGGGTCTTTACTCGATAGACCAAAATAAATGGGTGCACCAGGAAGAATTTGCTCAGATGCTTTAGCTCTGGTTTCCTGGTTCTCAGAATTGATGGCCGGCAATGGTGCTGCCTCATGACAATTCATCCTTCCAACCCCTTCATGTTTCTTTAGCCTCATTTCTTCTTATTTTTTAAGGTCTGCGTTTATCTTGTTATGAATCAGTCTAAAAGTGTGCCATACAACTCCACTAAATTCCAACAACTGATATTTTAAAGCAGCGCTTCCCAGTCAGAGGGCTAAAAACTACAGGGCTTCGGGAAGCATGTCAGTGGGTGCCCACATCCACAGATCGAAGAACATGCAATGTGAAAGCTGTCGTACACATGGTTGCGGAGGTGACACAGAAAAGCCAAAGTGGGGTGAGTTTCACCTGTGAAAGCTTTTTGAAAGAACTAAATTTTGAGCTGTTCTTGAAGAACATGAACTGCAAGAATGATGTGGGGAAGGCATTTCAGATGGAAAGTGCAGGCAACGGTCCAGAGGAAGATTTTAAGTCCTGTGTATGGTCAGCAAGTGAACTGACTCGGCTAGAGCAGAACACAGATGAAGAATGCCAACATCTAGTTTCCTTACTAAAAAGGACTGTAGCTTGTACTTCCATGTAATTCTGACACAGGACCCAGCACGACATTTTCTGAGTAGATCATGAACACACTCCTGTTACCTGATTGATTGATTTGACCTGACTCCTATAGAATATGCAACGCGTTTTATCCAGCACTTTCTTTCAACATGGTGACCAAAATTTATTCATTTCTGTGTTCTTTGTGCCAAAGGAAAGCCCATAAGAAAGTCCATAACATTGATAGCCACATACCTTTGTTTATTTTCAGTGGAAGGATTGATCTGAAAACCCAGCCTGCCATTATTAGAAAGAGAAGCCCAAATCTTTTAGAATATTGATCTCCTTATCACCTTTTTCACATAATAGTATCTTTTGCTTGAGGAAATAATGACAAGAAGCATCTAAGAATTTGGTAATACTTTTAGACAAATTTGTTTATTATTGATATATATGAATATGAACATAACCCTTAATGGCATCTTTTCATTGCTGCATAAAGATAAAAGGGACCGTACTTGAATCTATGAATTTGTGAGCCCATTGACATAATTCCCTAAGCTCTATAGTTTTCTACCCTCTGTCTAGGAAGCACTGGTTTAAAGTATCAATTGTTTGACTACATTTTCTGGAGTTGCATAGCACAATTTTAGACTAATAAGAAGACGAATGCAGAACTTATAAGATAACCTTTTAACTTTAAATTTAGGCTCTGGATTCTGTTTCCTTATTTACTTTCTCATTTTTGTTTTTATTTCCTTCTTCCTCCCCACCCCCTCTTCCATCCTTTCTGTTATTTGCTAGACTGGATATCTTGACCCTTTAAATGAAGTATTAAGTCCAGTTCATTTTGGCTGATACTAAAGGCAGACTTGAACCTTAGAGTTAATAATAATAATCACTTAAACAAATTTTACCACGTGTTAGGCAAAGGCTTTACATGTATTCCCTCATTTAGCCCTTATAACTGTAGGAGTTAGATATTACTGTTGTTGTTGTTGTTATGATAAGGATGATGATGATGATGCTTTTTCTCCTTTTATAGGTCGTCTGAATCCAGGTTGTCTTATCTTTATTATATATGTGGACTTCCAGCCTGCAGACTTTGCAGTTGTTGAAAAGCAAAAATCAATCGAGCTCCTATTTCTGCCCAAAGCTGAAGACAAGGTCTGGGGAAAATGTGATCAGGCCGACAGTTACTGTCAAAAGCGGCTTTTCCCCTTAGGTAGCCTGGCAGAAGCAGGACGGTGGGCTGGGTCTCCCATTATTGACAAGGCAAGGAGGGCTCTGGTTGGAATGAAGGTCTTTGGTATATTCCCTACCTGGCTGAGCTGCTTTCCTATTTCTTCTCTTTTATTGTCCTTTACTTTGAGTCTTGATCTGCTCCTCTTTTCTGCCTCCAAAATATACTTGGAGCTCTTTCCATAGAGCCAATTTCAAGTTTGTTTAGGGAAGCATGTTTTGGGTTATATTCTAGGGGCAAATGCTATGATCTCCAAGCATCTATTTCTTAGGCAGTGCTAAAAGTCATTATCCCAATTGCCCATGGTCCAGGTGCAAGAGCCAGTGTGAGGTCAACCTACTCTGGATTCCACCTACTGCTCTTCATGAGAGAACAATAATAATTTTTTATGAACCATAGGGTCAATTAGTGAATAATGCTTTGATACCACCCTGAATGTCTGTACTATAACTATAATAACAAGTTTCATAGGGCAATTCTTTAAAATATATTTTAATATCTGACTGTGGTGTAATGCCAAAGATTTTATCAGTAGAATTAATTCTATGAGGGGTAAAACACATGTTCAAGTTTCTGATGTTTTAATTTTAGGAAAAATTTTTAGTGTATCCAGTGCAGTGAAGAAGTCCTTCATAAATATTACTTCTTTAACAGTGGTGAATTCTAGGTTATGCTCTTGGGTAAGTGAAGATATTTTATGTTGATTATTGCTATTAACACAATGAGAAACTGGAGAAACTCACTGAGGATATAAACGGTCATCCTCTTTCTTCAATAGGCATGCGGAGAGCATTCTGGTCTACACAGAGAGAGGCTCTAGATATTTTTATAAAACAATTTGGGCTCAACTCCAGCACACAGAAGAATGGATGATTGTAAAACTAAAAGAAAAACACAAACTCCAAATTCATTAATTCAGTCTTGATTAAAATTAAGCTGACATCAGAAATGGGAAATATTTAGTAACAGACCTTGAATTAATGAAGAACTGTTGATACATGAGCGTTGGAAATGCAAAACACTGAGCTGACTTCTTACCATCTTGCTTTGAAAAATAAGAAAATATGTCAGAAAATATTTGCATACCAGGCACCAAATATTTGGGTTAATTTAATCCCTATTCTCTTTCTCAGCATTATGTTGAGTATTTGTCCATGGCTTCTTCCCTTCCTCCTTTGAAGGGCCTGGAATGTGAAGGGAAGGGCAAATCATCTTAGAGAATGAAGACAAGGACTGCACTTGGTGCAGAGCAAACATAGGACCTGGGTTTCCAATCAGAGAAGTGGTTATACCTGCCTAAGGCATCTCATCTCCAGACTTCATTGACATGAGACAGAAATAAACAATTGTTTTATTTACCCACTATCATTTTGTCTGCTGCTAATCCTAACTAATAAACCAAATTTGTGCTAACTTTGACCTCATTGATTAAGTTCTAATTAACTCAATCAAAGCAAGTCTCTGGATTATCTTAAAATTAGAAACATACTGAAATATATTTGCAAAAATGTTATTTTAGAACTTTAATAAGAAATTATTGAAATGCAAGATAGAATCTTAATTTTTCTGAGACAATTAAGGTCCCAAAGCTGTATAATTTAGGCCCAAAGCTGTCCAATAGAACTTTGTGCAATGATGAAAGTATTCTACTGATCAGCACAGGAGTTTTGACCTGCTTTGTTTTTGACCTGGGTCAGTTCACCCCTTCTTAGGTAACCTGGTGGCCCCCAGCTCCTGGGAGGTCACCATGTTGTTACTGAACTGAGTGAGGACACCCAATCGGCATAGTGCACTACAGTCCAGAATTCCTGGGCTCAGGCAATCCTCCTGCCTCAGCCTCCTGAGTAGCTGGGACTACAGGCATGCGCCACTGTGCCTGGCTGATGAAAGTCTTCTATGACCATGCTTTCCAGTGCCGCAGTAACTGGCTACATGTGGGTACCAGGCACTTGAATTATGGCTAGTATGACCAAAAATTGAACTCTTAGTTTTAGATAATTTAATTTAGATTTAAAAAGCCACAGTCATAGATCATGGCCATAATAATCTTAGTTTTCAAAAATTTTAAAGTTCAATAACATACAGAATATCTCTCTTTGAGAATTTCAACTTTTGGAGAAAGTTCCAGCATAAAATGGATTGCAAAATATATGCTTAGGTGTCTTGACTTGACTTGCTTTATAAGGTTGTTAGCCATAAGTCAGTTAAATAGTAGAGAAGTGATCCAATATGATGTTTTTGATACAGTTGGTATTGAGTTTTGCTTTGGAATAGTAATTAGAAGTGGAGGCAATGATATATTAAGGCCTTTCCTAGGTATTGACAGTCAAACTGAGTAATTAACTGACAGAGAATGCTTACTTTTCTGTCCTGTCTGGTGGAAAGGACATATATGCAGTCTAGACAAAAGTGTCAATCTGCATAGTGGTTAAAGCACAGATGCATTAGACCAAGGTTTTATTACCAGCTCAACTAACTCACTGTGTGATCTCTGGCAACTGGCCCCTCTATAAAATGGGGATAGTAATAATACCTATCTACAGAGTCTTGAGGCTCAAATGAGATAATTTTTACTAAGTACTTGGTGTAGTGCCAGTATCAGAGTAAATACCCTGGAACTTACAGAAATACAGGTTACAATCTAGTTCTAGAACCAAAGGGTTAAAATGATAAAGATTAACAAAAGGGAAATTCTCCAAGGAGAAAGACTCAGCCACCAAAGGGAAAGCATTGGTCTTGCAAATGGTTTGGGATACTTCTCTGTAGAGGCAGAAGTAGAGTATTTAAGAATTAGAAGATGATCAAATAATTAACATATGTGCAAACTGACAAAATGTGACTTAATGGGAGTGATATCAGTGTTTTAAAATGTATCTACTTTCCAGCAAGTTGAATCAGAAGCCGCAATTTCTATCCTATGAACCAAAAGCTTAACAGCAGTCTCACAAGGTTGAAAAAAAGAGTTTGGTCAAATATACCTTGATGGTTCACTTGTTTCCCTAAAACAAGAAGATATTAAAGGTCAAAACTATTGCATATGGTATGGAAAATTGGATATTCTCTAGTTCATGTCCCTTATAGGCACATAATCGAAAATCAAATATGCTCTGTATGTACTAACCAAATTAACCACCTTTAGGAAAGCTACCTCTTTTGGTTGTATTGAAGTGGTGACATAGCATGAAAAAATTCACATAAGAAATTACAAATTGATTATTCTTGGTTTCAATATTTTCAGTGTGGAAATATTGAAATGTATGCTGGGAATTTGGTATATTCTTGATTGTATAGCAGAAAAAAAGAGATGAGTTAAGAGTAAAGAAATTATAGTCTTAATAAAAATGGGCAAATAAAAATGGGCAAGAATATTGTGTAGGCCAAATAAAAATGTTACCAATCAAATAACTTCTAATAACCTCAGTCAGATTGCTTACCCAATTTAACTTGATATTTTATTATCTTAATATTTTGCATATTATTGTACTATAGTGAATGATATCTGAGAGGATGCTGTTACAAAATCGTGTTGACTCTATCTTAAAATAAAAACATTAGGGAAAAAAAGTAATCTGAAATGTTGGATATTTCTACTTTTCTGACCTGATCTGGCTGCATTTCAGGAGAGGAATGTTGGTTGTTCTAGGGGTTGCAGTCACTGGAAGATAGAAGTATGTGGGGAGTAGGGTAGAACTGAAAGAGATGGTGATGAAAAACTAATGTTGCTACAGCCATAGCTACTAGTGTAGCACACCATCCTGGATTTGGCAACAAAGGTGATCTGGTTTGAAGTATAGTTATCTACTCAGTTCCTAGATATAGAGAAGTTTTCTGTATTCATCAGGGGCTTAGGTGGTAAGCATCAGAAATCAACCCCAGCTAACTTATGTGAAAAAGTAATTATTGGGCAACTTATAGAATCGATGGAAGGCCTAAAGGATTAAGCTTGAATATGGACAGGAATCAAGGGGCATTTGGCTGCAGTAAAAACAGGGCTGGGGTTTATCCTCTAGTGCCTTGCTCACTAGACTGAAGATGCTGGTGCTTTCACCACATACAAATTCTCAGCCATCTCTATGTCTTTGTGTCCTCACCAGAGGGTCAAAGTCCCTGATGAGAACATTTGATTGGTTGAACCTATGTCCTTTGTCTTATCTTTCAGGGCTGAGGCAAATATTGGGTCCTTTTAGATTCAACTTTAAGGTACTGATAGTGGATAATTATCTTCCAGAAAAATAGTTGTTCAGATAAAAAAATGTCCATAGCATTTTCCAGACCAGGTACCTGGAGTTGGATTTACTGGTTCCTCCACTGAGCAGGACTGCTTTTCAAGGAGGTGGAGTTGGGTCAGGTGGAACTGGGTAATGTGAGGGGGCCACTCAAAGGAGGGGAACATCTTATACCTCTGAATGACAACTTGAAATTTTTGCAGAATTTACATAACAAGGTATATATTAAATGAGGCACAGGCTATGCTGGTAAGATGATAGCTCAACAAGTTCCATCTTCTCCTCCCTTTTATCCCCAAACCTCTCCTGAGCTAACTGGGAGCCAGGCTGGGAGGCAGGTGGAGCATGGAGGGCTGGGCTTCCCTTACACTATGTGTCTGATGATTTGTGAATATTGACATCCATGTACATGCATAAACATGGATGTATATAGCTACTATGAAAAGTATATATGGATACACATTGATGTTAATGTGAGGATGAGTGGAGAGGGGATGAAGGTGGGAGATGAAGTTAAAAAAGCAAAAGTAAAAAAAACTTTCCTAAAATTTCCAATATGTGAAATATAATTCTATTTATGTGAAAGGATATACCTGTATGGTAAAGATTTTTTTCAAGCAAATCATATTAAGCAAGTTAATAATTTTAAGCAAATACCATATAATTTCATCTGAAAATATTTTAGCAAGAATCTCCCACATGTATGTATGTTTGTACATATCATAAACAAGGAAAAGGGAAAAAAGTGGACAAGTGAATGCCAGATTGTTAGTATTGG